TGCTCCGCTCCGGTTTTATATTGGGGCTACCAGAAAAGCGGACCTATATTTATAATTTTTAGTAAAGAAGAATACTCAATAACTCCTAAAGTATCGAAATTGGTGGGTGCAGTTATATGGGAGCTATCCGAAAAAATTAACCTATATTTAAATTTTTTGTGGATAGATATGCTACCCAAATAAGAACTCGAAGCACAAATTACAGCCAATTTGGATGGAGTTTACAAACAGAAAAACAAATTTAATATACCTCCCATACTATGGTGGAGTGTATAAAAATTTTTTATTTTACCCCACTGTTCACAGCATACACAGCATTTTGTAAAGCCAATTGCTAATCTCTTAATGACTATGAAAGATCAAGGTCATATTTTATCGTCACTCTGTTCGTGTTTCTCTTTTAGACTGCCCCAATACAAATACGAAAACAACAATACAAACAAATAAAAAAATGATGTTTAATATACAATAAATTATAGGAATTTAACGCATACACAACAATGACAAAAACAACAACCTCAATATACCCTACATTTGTTTGGCGCACACATAAAATCTGTTTAGAGTCTTACAATTGTTACCACTACTACTGCTGCTGCTCCAGCCAAACATAAGGACAATGATATTTATCAAACATCCATTATAACGTCCCTTTCGATTTATTTCCCATCCATTATTGTCAGTGTCGTCGTCATTGTTTTCCTGTTTACCATTCGATTTATTTTTCCTGTTGATGTTGACTTTCATAATAATTTTTCTGTTTCTTTCTCTTTTATGTTACACTCTACTGGCATCTCCGCTTTCATTCCTGTGAATTCATTCCAAATATTTTCCAATTTTTTGGATTTATGGTATCCTCTATGGCAGCAGCCGCAACAACAGCTGAGCATAGCGGAGCAGTGCTGAACAATTCATAAGACGATGATGCTGTTGATGATAATCTCCATATGTTTGCAGTTTTTAAAAACGAATGTAATGCCAATCAAGTAATGGAATTTTTAACGGTAAGTCATTTTTCAATCTAACAAATCCGCATAGAAATGAAATGAATCGGGGCGATGCGATTCGAAGTGAAATGAAGCTTGAGGAAATCATGTGGAAGTGCGAAAACAGAAATCATTGTTAGCAAATGTTTACATTCGAAGAAGAGTCGTCTGTCGTCACATAAAGTATAGAATGTCCTGATTGGAAAATGTAATCTGAGCCATATAAATTGTCAACGATATTTGTTGTTATTTGTGTCAACGAACAACGAACACATATTGTTATTATTTACAACATCCAGACTAAGTGTAAAATTTCTAAAGGGTATAAATTAGGGATAGGAATGGAAACGGAAGTGAAGCTAGATTGTTATTTAGGAGCTAAATTATGAAATTGAATACCATAAAAAGGAAAAATAACCAGTGGGCGGAGTAGTATAGTCGGATGGGGCCGACCATACGATACCCTACACAACTACTACGGAACTCTAACTTTCTGCGGATGCTTACTCCAAGCCTGGGCAATATTTCGTGATATTTGCTCAATCTGGCCCGATTAGAGGTCAACAGCACCTTTTTCATACACTGACATATTTTCCGAATATTACTATTCATACAGCCCTTCTAATTAATTGTCCAGATTCCCTTCATCGTGGGTTGTGTAGTATTGTTCGGCCTATTATTGGCATCGACTCAAAAAACACAAAAAAATAAGTTTTCGGTCCACTTCATCCCAAAATTATTATCTGATCATCGCCGAAAACTGGAATCTCATGCAAAATTTATAAGCGATCAGCGCTATATTTCCGCCCTCTACTGTGGTAATGGATTATTAAATAATAGCAAAATACATAAGCACCTGCACATATTTAAGTGTAACTCCCACATGTGAGAACATACGACAGTATAATTGGTATAAATTTTAATGTCAAGCACTACTCTTGGATATACTATCAACTTCTCGGGTCTATGTCCTTCAGGAGTAAATATGTAAGCTATAGAATACAAATTTTGTAATTTTTCACACAAAAGTCAGGGTACATTTGACTCACTAAATATTGACGGATCTTTATAAAAACTGGCATGTTTATTTTTTGGCCCGATCGCCTTCTCCAAGTAAAATTTGGCAATGTTTGAACCGTAATTGCGGCCTCTGGAGCAACCAGAAAATCAGACAAAAAAGTATTTGGTCCATTTCATCCCGTAAATATTAACCGATCTTTACCAAAAGCAATAGGGGTCTTCATTGGCCAGAACCCATCCTACATGCAAAATTTCGTGAAGATTGGTCCATAACTGTGTCGTGTATCGTGTTTACAAATTATAATGGACAGACGGACGGACGGACACACATGTCTAGACCGACTCAGCTAGTCGAGATGTGACGATCGGTATACTTAAAGGTGGGTCTAGGACCAATATTTCGCGGCGTTACAATCTCTCGGGCCTGCACAAAGCTATAATACCCTGACAACATAGTTGGTTAGGGTACAATTAAACGAAGCCGATTATATGATGTTCTAACTTCCTTGGTATATATACAGAACTTAAACATGACATCATTGATATCACACAAGGGAAAAAATCGTTTTATGCCTTAAATCACTTTGGGTGCATCCAGAAGACATTTAAACAGTCGGGAGCAGCGTAAATTTCTATGACGATTTAAGCACATCCGTCGGTCTGTTGGAACGAATTGAAATAAATCAATCAAACAATATCGATCCACATTTAGGCATACTCCCCAATTTTCAATATTTTTGGGATCTTCAACGCGCTATTCTAGAGAATTCTCTAAAATTTGGTACGATGGATTCGTATTGGATACCAACTGTTTTCTTGCAATCGACCTAATTTTGACTCATGGGTTCACAATTTACTATAAATCGAAAGAAACTATATGTATGAGAGCTATATATAAATCTGGACCGATTATCACCAATTGCAATAAAATTCTTCCTTGGGCCAAATAAATGACCTCTGCTAAATTTAATTTTAATCGAATAATAAATGCGACCTGTACTTTGTGTACAATTAACCATGAACATACTGATGGACGGACATGCATAAGTCGTCTCAAAACCAGTAAGGAAAGTAGTAAAGTCGGACGGTGCCGACTATATGATACCCTTCACCACTATGGGTATTTTAAACAGCTGATGATGTTTATCTAAATGTGAATCTACCTAGATCTATCCATAAACATATCATTCGTTTCTTACAATGGGACAAAAGTTTGTAAATCGACTTCAAACGGGAGCTATATCTAAATTTCAACCGATTTTCACGAAACTTAGCACATCATTCTGGACTAAATTTACATTAAATCGGACGAAAAAATATATAGGAGCTATATCTAAACCTTGACTGATTTTCACGAAATTTGACCGACATCACTCTAGGCTCGATTCAGTACGTTATGCCAAATTTCGTGCAAATCGAAGGATATATAGGGACTTTGGTGCACCACTTACATGAAATCGGACGAAACTATATATGGGAGCTATATCTGGACCGATTTTCTCGAAACTTGGCAGACATCACTCTAGGCTCAATCGAAGGATCATTACGTTATGCCAAATTTGGTGCAAATCGAAAGATATGTAGGGACTTTGGTGCACCATTTACATGAAATCGGACGAAACTATATATGAGAGCTATATCTAAATCTGGACCGATTTTCACAAAACTTGGCAGACATTATTCTAGGGTCAATTCATTACGTTATACTAAATTTCGTACAAATCGAAGGTTATATAGGTTCTTTGGTGCACCATTTACCTTAAATCGGACGAAAATATATATATGGAAGCTATATCTATATCTGAACCGATTTTTCCCTATTTCAATAAGGTTCGTCCTTGGGCCAAACAAATGAGCTGAGCCAAATTTCATCCAAATCGGATTATAAATCCGACCTGTACTTTGACCCTTTTGCCTGTTACAAAAATATGCAGAAAGACATACTACCCTGTACCTGTCAATTGATGCTAACCGAAATTATTTTTTGTACAAATTCTAAATTACCGTCGCTTTCAAAAAATTATTAAAATCTGTCAGAACAAGTTCGTCACTCCGTTGAAGTCGCGATAGATAGAGATTTGAAATGTTGCACAGACATATACCGTTATACCCCAAAATCACGGAAATACGGGGAGTTTGGGCAGGTTCCTCAAACGAAATGGCCTGTAATTTGAATTCTCATTAGGTAGCAAATTTTAACAGTACCTCCAAAATTTCTGTATTTTCACGAGTCTAGGCTTGTTTTGAAACCGAATAGGCTGTAATTGAGATTTTATTCCTAATGTCCATGTTCGGACATCACAACCATAAAATATGTATATACCAACTCCGCCTTTAAATTTGTACGCTGATCAAGATGTATATGCTTTAATATTTCCAATTCTCTTTTGCCAATATTTATTTATGATTAATTTAACCATTCTAGCCGTCGAGAAAATCCATTAAATATTATCCAACATAGAAAACTAAATAAGAGGTTAAGTGTATGCCCATAACGGCGCCAACTAATGCCCTGTTTAACAAAACATTTTATGGTCAAACTGTTGGGGCAACATAACGAACTACTAACACTACTAAAGCAACAACTAAAATGAAATGAAAGAAATAAAACAATTCGAAGACAATGAAACCAAACATTAATGACTTTTCTTTTTCTTTCTTCTTCATCCTCGCATTATAAAATGAAACAACTTTTTAATGCCACTAACTTACAATTCCATTCATCGTCCTTTCTCTTCTTTTGTTTTAACGACTATTATGAGATATTGTAATGTGGCACGCGAGTGCAGAACCCTTTTAGCTCTTGACTTTTCACAATACTAATGTTCGTCGTTGTTAAAACAAAAATCAACAGAAGATACAAATATCCACCGCCGAAAACCAAATGAAGAAAAACAATCGAGAACTGTGTAATCTTTTCTGGGAAGGGGAAACAAACTTTTGACCAAAGCCCTGCAATAACCACAGTGGGATAGCATTAACACAATGCCATGGCATAGCAGCATCTAGATTCGCATCACAGGACATCAGAATGGCCACAATGGCAAAACACCATTGTCGTGCAAATCATATATTAGCCAAAAACCCACCCATAACAATTATAAAAGAATTCTGGTTAACTTCTTCTTCTCTCACCCTTTCCTCAAAGGACATGAGGGAGTGGGAGAACGAAAGAATGCCAATGACAGCACAAACCAAAGATTTCTACTACAGCACTTGTTCTTCCCAAGCTGTATGTCTGCCTGTATGTTCCAAAAAATAAAAAGAAAATTCATAAAATTTTTTTGGTTTGACTTTTTGGTCGGTTGGTTATGTAAATGTTCTTCTCCGGATATAGTGTGTTAAATTCTATTTAAAGTTTCTAAGGCAAGAAGCTTACTTGCTAGCAGAACATTTGCATTTAAGAGCTTAAAAGTTACAGTGTGGTCGAATGGTTTCATTTGGAAAGAGGGGTTTGATGATTACATTCTTAGAGTCAGGTTGTAAATGAAATTGAATACAATACAAAATTTTCAGAACTTTAGAACCATTTGCCCGGTTATTGGGTGCAGAGTTTTCATGAAATCGGACGTACATGAAATTTTGTACGTTGAGCAAAATTTCATGACAATCGGAAAAAGGTTGGGTATTTGGTGCAGTTTTTAGATATAATTGGTCGAATTTGGGACAACAGACAGACAGCTATTAAAATTATTCCAGTAACAGCTCATTATATTGTTTACAAGCGTACAAAAGCTTTTTGGTGAGAATTTTGCTGAAAAAAAGTTACTCGTAATGGAATTCAAGCTTGATAGTGTGATTTCTTTATATTTACCTAGAAAACCACAAGTGGCTATCGTTAGAGCATTCCAGCATTTAAATGTGAACAAATCTATTGTGTCTCCTGCTATCGCTCGTTACTGTGATACCGGTAACGTAGCCCGATGTCAAGGAAGTGAGCGGAAGAAAACAGCAACATCAGCAGAAATGGTTCGAAACGTAAAGAGGGGACTTGATCA